AATATGTTAGCTCTATCTCTGATATTGAGCGTTTTCTAATAAGTACCGCATATAATATATAAATAATTATACATATATATATATTTATTTATATTTATATACACTTTTCATATATATATATATATATATATATATATATATATATATATATATGAATAATACAGATGCAAAATTTGATCTTATGTACAGCACCTCTGCAACAGAGATTCGTATATATATATATATATATATATATATATATATATATATATATATATATATATATATATATATAAATATAAAGACAGTACTGTCAGATTTATAATCCAGAGTTCTTTAGCATTTATTTTTAAAACCAGTGCTCGGTACACAGTAGAGCATCGTATCATAATTATCATTTAAAAATAGTTTCATCGCAACACAAATTACCATGTTTCGGAATTAAAAACTAAACTTTAACTTAAAATTATTTTTTTTTGTTCCATTCTCTAGAGATGTTGAATAACTTTTGAAAAAAAAATGATTTACTTTTTTAAGCTAAAAAAGTATTATATAGTTTAAGTTGAAGTGGGGGGAAGGGATTTTTTGAAAGGGTGTTGCTTTTTTGGCAAATCAGGATACAAGTCAAATTTACGATGGCAAAGTGCAAATATAGGTTGTGGATTTGTAATTTATACCCGTCGATACTAGCTACATTATATGAGAACATGTCATCTGTTTTTAAGGGCATACATAAGACACAATAGAATATATTGGCATTTTTACTTCTCTTATATTTATTTTTTATTTTTTATAAAATACATTTGGATCATCTAAAAAGGGCTTCAAATATGATTTTTATAAATAAGTCATATTTTATATGTTTATATTTTTATTTATGAAGGGGTCTAAAATACTCTATTTATTATACTTATTAGTATACTAGATACGGTGTTGTTAAAATTAAGATTTTAAAATTTAAGGATTTAATTACGCATTTTTTACTTTCTTATTTGCGATCAAATAATAGATATATAATTATGAATTTTTTAAAATAATTATGTTTTAAAGTAAACATAATGCAATGTCTACAAAAACAGTTATTTCTTTTCATTGATTTAATAAATCTTTATTTTTTAGAAACTTGAAAATATATAAATTTTAATGTAGGCACAAAGGACATGGGTCAATTAAAGACCTACAAGTTCTCCTTTTTTTAAATAATTTCCATTTTACTGTGTGTGTTATATGTGTGTGTCTATGTGTGTTTCTGTGTCGGAATGAATAAATATTTTTAATATATATATATATATATATATATATATATATATATATATATATATATATATATATATATAACGGAACGGAGGCTTTGAGTGTAGTGGTGTTGTTCAGTTTGTTGATCATGCTAGATAACAGGCTCTTTCCCAGAAATTGTAACTAAGGTTTGATCAGCATAGTTGCAGTATAAACCACAGGTTGGCTCTGTGGGTGTTGAACAAACACCAATGTACCTGAGCGAGAGTCTGCAATAGGGATTGGCTAGCCTCCGTAGTAGAGAGGTATTTTTTTCTTAAGCGTTTCACCGCAAGCAAGGCGGGATGCCACTAGGACGCAAGGGGTTACAGAAGATTTGGTGCAAGATCAGATAGGAGTGATAGAAGAAAGGATGAGGAGAAGGATAGTGGATAGATCAAGGCAACTGGAGATGTCGATTGACATTACATTTGAATAGTTGGAGATTATAGCTCTCAGTGAAACTGGAATAGGGAAGGGGAGTTCCACAGGCGAGAAGTGAGAGACATGAAGCTATTGGAGTAGATAAGACGGCTACATTTAGGAGTTTCGACAGTGAAAGGGTGAGAGTGGGATGCTAGCCTCGTAGGGCGCTTGAACTCATGAAGTCTGGGAACCGGCGAATGCATCTCCTCGGAGCATCCTCGAATACGAGTGCCCAGCTATTATATATATATATATATATATATATATATATATTTAACGTTGTTTTTTTATAGATACAAGTATTTAAAAGCAAATGTTTGTTTAATGTTACGGTATTAAATAACATTTACCAGGCCTTGAAATGAAAATATTCGTCCTGACAATTTGAACCTGCATGAATGACGTTTCCGTATAGGATGCAGGTTCGAATCCTGTCAAAGGACAAATATTTTCTATGAAAATTTCTCGATTCAGGCCGGTAAATGTTATTTAATACTGTTTATCATAAACAGAGCATTTGCTTAAATACTTGTATCTATAAAATAACAACGTTAAACATAAAAAATGTCTTTATTAAATAAATTGTCGGACCTTGTCCATTTCTTAACATATATATATATATATATATATATATAGATAGGTATAATCCAAGCGAGTCCTATTAACACAATATAGAATTGGAAATATTAAATGTTAAAACCGACTCACATACAGTTGGAATTAAGATACCATTAGTTAATATCTCCTTCCACAAACTGATACCATGAACAGTTTGAAGGGGACTCTTCTATAAACTGACACAAACTTAAAATTCGCAGAATCTCTCAAACTGGGGAACCTTCTACAAAGTGACACAATAAGTAGTTTTAAATTTTAAAATTCATAGGTGAAAATTGTCATTAACTAATGATATCTTAATTCCAATTGCAAATAAATATATATATATATATATATATATATATATATATATATATATATATATATATATATTTGTATTTGTAAGCAAATATATGGATATAGATCCGACAGTATGAAGAAACATATACTGAAAAAAAACAAAAAAAATCCTAATATCCGATTATG